AGAGACAAATAATTTTCTCTTTAGTAAAAGCCCCTCACAGTAAATATAGCAGCAATGAACAAATATAAGCTTTCACTCACTTACCCTTCTCCAACAACTCTAACATTACCATCAGCCATCATCTTGTTCATAAGAAAATGCACCTTGTCCCTTGCTGGGACACCGTGCCCTAAATTAAGGCTTTCAAATGCAACAGAAGAATTGCCGTAATCTGAAAAATTGATTTCTGGATTCCCATTTCGAGAAAACCCCTGAAGGCTGCCCAAAGACGATGCCACTTCGTAATAACATTCTTCCCAAATTAAATGCCTGCAAAATTTAAATTTTACTCTAGTATGTTAAAATATCTTCTTCTTCTTATTTATTTATATTTTTTTTCTTTCTTTCTAGAGTAACATAATCAAACAAGCAGTAATTAAGGTGAAAAAGATCAAATGAGGGGACAGAAAAACCCTGCAAAGTAGTTTCTTTTGCAGCAGACAAGAAGGTAAGAACAGCATTCCATCAGTGTAAGACAAAGACAAATCCATTGCATTCAGTCACTGAGATTCTCCAAGACAAACTGAATGCACCACCAAGAAAAATCCAAACTTTATATAAGGTAACTTGCAAGATTACATATAAATGGACGAACAGAAAATAGCCCAATGTATAATATTACACCAGATAAGAATAATATTATTTCTTGGTCAAATAAAGGAGGTTGAACATAGTATGTTTGATAGCTATTGGCTTATTGTTTCACTAGAACAAAAGTGGAATTAGAATTGGAATATCAGTTCTCTCCATCGTCAGTGGTCACCAGAAAATTCATGGAGACAGAGAGAGAAAATTCATGGAGAGAAAGACAGAAAGAGAGAATCAACAGACATAAGCCAAAAAAAGCTACTAAACAAAAAGAAAACATGAACAAGAAGTAACATTTTGTCTTTAGTCCAGATTTAACAGAAGAGCACACCAGAACTGACATCATACACTTTATATCACCAGATTAATAATAAGAACATTTAACAAACAACGTCATCAAAAATAAGTAGAAAAAACAAAGTAAGGGCGATTTATGATCTACTTACATTAGATTTTGGCAGTCCATCTTCCAGAACACGGCATAAGACCACTGGTTGACTCCACAAAGTGCCCTCAAAGCCTCTTTCAACAAGTAACCCATCGCAAGTTCCTTAATGACCGCAATAGAATGTATGAATATTGGGGAGCAGAAATAATAAGAGGAATATCAAGATTTATTATTCCTCCAAAGGGAAAACTTGAGTCCTTTTTTCCCCTCCTTTTTTGTTTTTTTCCTTATTTTCCCGTGTTTAGCCTAACTTCCTCTGCAAGACCCACGCCCTGCTTGTTTTGTCCTCAAACCACCACTCCTTTTCTTCTCTGGATCTAAACTCCCTGATATCAATGTGCTCTTGCAATCCATTCCCCGCATGGAGAACAAAAAATAGAAAAAAAAATAGAGACGAAAAAATGAAGAGAGTGATTTTTCACCTCAAAAAAGGAGAAATTGGGACGGTTCCTACACTATCCCACAAGCCTTAAGCTCGCAATTAACAGCCACAAAAACTTTCTCCATCTCAGAGAAGAGGAAAATTCTTGAAACAAATAATTGTCAGTTTTTGGTAAGATCGAAGCTTTATGTCGTTTTAAGGTGAAAAACGTCACTCTGAGTGCGTTTGGTTTTCTGGGCTTTGCTGTCTCTCTCTCTTTCTTACTTCTTGTCTCTTCCTTCTTTTTCTGTTTTTTACTTGCTGGCTATGAGCTTTTTTAAGTATGTGTGATGACTCTCTGCTTTTTGTCTGGGGAGGTGGCTAAAATGCGCGGCGATGATTGTTCATGAGATGAGAGTGAGAGGCGATGGGCGGTGGGAGAAGGGGCCTGGAGTTGGGGTTTAATTACGGAGGCTGCCACCGGGGAAGTGGGGTGTCGGCTTTTTCTGGTTTTTGTTCAACTCTTTTTTTCTTTTTTTGGGACTGTACAAAAGAATCTTTGGAATTTGGTTTTTTCAGTCGAGGACTGTTTGTGCTCTTGAATTTTTTATCACAAAGAGAAAAAGAAAATATTAAAACAAAAAGAAAAAACTTTTTTCTATTTTACTTTATTTTACTGTGGCGCTTATCGAAAAGAAAATATTTTCTAACGATTATGTATTTTCTACTGTAGAAGAAAACGATAGGCTTTCATGGTCATGTGTAATATATTGATAAATAAAATATGAAAATGTTGTTTAATAATACTTTTTCTTTTTTTATTTTCTTTGCTTTCTCATAATCTACTTTTTATTTTTAAAATAAAATGATGATGAGATATTTAATAAAAAATAAAAATAATAATAAAAAAATGTGAATAGTCAATTAAAAAATAAAAATATAAGAATATTCAAATAAAAATTAAGCAAATAATAAAAATATTAAAATATTTAACTCAAAACGAATAGAAATATAAGAATCAATATTAAGAGATTTTTAGTTGATACATTCTTATTATATTTTTATCTTTAATGATGATAAATATAAATAATAAAAATTTTAATGTAATATATTTTAATCTTTCGTGATGATAAATTTAAATAAAAAATTCCAACATAAAAAATAAAAGAATTCATGTCTTATATATTATTGGAAAACATCGCTTTTGGTGTTATGGCTTTTAGGAAAATTTTCTTTGGTCAAATATGTATATTTACAATGTTATATATCAATCTAATACGTGTACCATAGCCAACCTTGGGTAGGGCGGGCCAGGCGACAGTCCATAGCCCCAACTTACTTCACGGCCCACTATTATTAATCATTAATATATAGTATTAATTATATAAAAAGTAGTTTTAATAGCTATTTTTTTATTTTCATTATTAAAAGTATTTTTTTCTCATTAGATAAATTTCATGAAAAAATTAATTAGTAACTATTAGTAGTAAAATTAATATGGTTTTACCTATTTTCTACTATTATTTTCATTCATTTCCAATTATTTTCTTGAAGCACAATTAAATAATGTTACTAATAGATATTAAAAAGTCAAAATAAATTAACTCATTTTAACATGAGTTTTAATTTATCGTTGTTATTTAGTTTTCTTAGATATCAAAACTAGTAACCTTTTACTCTCTCGATAAATTTCATTAAATTTTAACTGAATATTACATACTTCAGTAAATTTAAGATATATATATATATATATATGTGTGTAAGTAAATGAAAAATTAGAGTTTCAATGTTTATTTTTTTATTTTAGCAAATAAAGTATTTCCTCTCTCTTTTCCATTTGATACAACTTTTATTATAGTTAGTGTACATTATGATTTTTTTAGGAACTTATTAAAAAAACCAAAGGGAACATTTTACGCATTTCGCTCATGACCTCGTAAAGTCTAGGATCGGCTCGGTGTATTACATAAAATATTCAAAATTTATGTGTTATTTGGAACCAAAAAAATAAATTAATGAGATGTTTTGTCGCAAGCACTTCTCCATGTATTTCAAAATTTTATAGTATTTTGTTATTAGTTCCTAGTTAAGTACCAGTACTTTTATAAATCATAATTAGCTAAGGAAAAAAAAAAAGTTAGTTAGTCTAGCCTCCTAGTTGACATAAAAAATTCAAAACTTAAGTTGCAATTTTCTCGAAATCATTAACATGAAATTATTTGCTTCTACGATGAATTATTTAGGTCTACATAATCATATTCTGGTTAAGTGGTATCAACATTCAAATTACATTTTTTTTTTTTTTACAACAATAATATTGACATTCACCTAGCTAAACAATGATGGTCAAATTTACTATTTACCGCCCCCCATTTTATTAGTCACCGCCCTCCTTGGACAATTTTGCCCTTCTCATTTTTTCTAAACATCTCAGAGGAAAGTGCACGGTGAAATGTCGTCAAATTCGAAGGTACGAAAAATTTTGTGTCCGGCCGCCGGAACCGGACGGTTTTTAAGCCGTCCGGCCGGCCGGTCCGGACGGGCTAAATGCCGTCCGAAAAGTACGACCGGTCGGACGGGCTATGTCCGAACCGGCCGGCCGGTCGGAACCGGTCCGTCCGGTTCGGCCGGCCGAACATATTTTTTTTTAAAAAAAAAAATTATTATGTTATATATTCAAAATAATTATGTTATAAATTGGACTATATTATTATGTTACATTTTAGACTTGATTATGCTATAAATTGGACGTTTATCGTGTTAGGAGTTACAAATTATTATGTTACATGTTGATTATAATATAAATTGGACGTTAGATATTATCGTGTTACGAGTTAGAAATTATTATATTACATATTAGTCTTAGTTATGTTATAAATTGACGTTAGATAGTATCGTGTTAAGAGTTACAAATTATTATGTTACATGTTGATTATAATATAAATTGGACGTTAGATATTATCGTGATCGTGTTAGGAGTTACAAATTATATAAATTGGACGTTAGATAATATCATGTTATGAGTTACAAATTATTATGTTACATGCTAGAATTAATTATCTTAATTTAACATGTTCTAAAAATATAAATATTGTACTATGGCAGGAGTCATGGGAAGATTTTGGAGGAGATGGCGTTGATTACAGTCTGCGTTTCGATACCTGTACATTATATAATAGTGCTCAGGAGGCTATTGAAGCTGCAAAACACCAGACAATGCTGAATGGTTTTCTATTAATAATTTCGAGCCACAAAAATAAAACGGTCAGACTTTTGAAGTGCCATAGAGGCGAACGGTACAGAGGCACAGGCGGAAATTCTAGAAAGACAAAAACGAATAAGTGCGGCTACAATTTTGAGATCAAAGTAAAAAAAGGTGTCCGGTGCTCCATACTGGAGAATCTGTAGATGTAGCAATGAAGAGAAAGACTACCATAACCATGCATTTTTGTATATCCTGAGGGTCATCGCCAGTTGAGCGGCCTCAGCGCTTCATCTAAGAAAATTGTTCGTGACATGACGGACGCTCAGGTGGCCCCGGCAAAAATTATGGCCTCACTGAAGGAAAAGAATCCGGGAGACAACGTTCATGTGCGGCAGGTATATATATTTATATCTTGTAATATATGTTTTAATTAACTTTTTGAAGTTAATTATGATAATTAGTAATTTTTTATATGTAAAAGTTATTGTAATAATTAATAAATTTTATTATATTTACTAATGTATTATTATTGTGATAGTTAATAATTTTTTTATCAAATTAATTGCATTAATATACTTTTTTATTTATTAATATAATAATTTTTTTGTTATAATAATCATTATAATTAACGCTAATCGGTGACAGGTATATAACTTTAGAAATAAGCTGCGGAGAGATAGTTCCGACGGTAGAGACGTTCTTTCCCAGCTTATGCATTTGGCCATGAGCAGCGAGTATACAGTTTATGCAGAATCCGATCCGAACACGAAAGCGTTGACGCATATATTCATGGCCCATCCTGCGTCGATCAATCTATTCCGGACATATCACTGGTATGTCGGCATAGATTCCACGTATAAAACCAACAGGTATGTTACTTTATACATACTTTATTAGTATGAATCTTAAATAGTGTTTTTGATTAAGTAAACTTTTATTTGATTATATTTTTTGTCTTCTTGGTCTCATTTGCACAGGTACAAGATGCCGTTGGTCGAGATGATTGGGATGACGCCGTGCAACCAGAACTTCCTAATTGCGTATGCGCTCATCAGGGACGAGAAAGAGGCCAGTTACGACTGGTTTCTAGGGAAGTTGAGACTACTGATAGGCCAAAGCGTATATCCTTATGTTGTTGTCAGTGACAAAGAGTTGGGTTTACTCACTCCTATTCAGAGGCATTTTCCTGAATCAACCCAGTCTAGGTTGCAATTGTGGTATACTGTTCAAACAAAAGCTTCTTGAATAAAAGAACGATATTATTCACTTGTGGTGTAACGCTTCTCATTCAACTTAAGTGTAGCAAATAAAAAATAAATAAATGAATCAGTTCAACTTATGTTTAGCAAAAAAAAAATAAAAAAAAAAACCATTCAACTTAATGATTTACAATCAGAAAAAAAAATCTCATTCAACTTACTTAAGTTTAGCAAAAAAAAAAAAATCATTCAACTTAATGTTTTACAATAATAATTAAAAAAAAAAAACATTCATTACATCATTATTGGATTGTCGTAATCCAACTTA